TTCTTACCAGCATAGCGACATGCCCACACTTCTCCAAAAGCTCCACGGGATAGCAGTGGACCGACTTCAATACGCTCCCATGCAATGCGCTTACCTACAAGGTTGGAGTCTGTTGTGAGTTTGTATTGTACATTGTCTGCAGCAGAGTAGCGGGAGAAAGTCTCACGTAGAGCTGGAATAGATTCAAGGTCAGCTTGAATTGAATCTCGGATCGATGGCATATAATTTTGAATCGGAGACATCGAGATGGATTCTCGAAGTGTCGGTAAATAGTGGCTTCCTGATTGATTTTGCACCGACGAGCGATCACTCCAAACATCCGAGTAGCTTCGACGAGAAAGAGAGAGACCTGATTGACGCAAACTGCGAGCTGATGAAGGACGACTAAGTGTCTGAGCAGAAGAAGGACGACCAAGTGTCTGAGCAGATGATGGACGTCGACGATAAGTTGATTCTTGTGCTGAAGACAAACGAACAGCTGGACTAGACGATGGACGTGGGCGAACTACAATTCTTCGAGCTGAAGCTTGGCGAGCCGTCGGCATCAATGTTTGTAGTGTAGCACGAGTCGTCGCTGGAGCTTGAGCTTCTTCCATTGAAGTGTAAGCTGATGGTACGGAGCCTCTTCGTGATGTTAATGCATTTAATTGAGCAGCTAATTGACTGCTTCGTGCTGCAAGAGTAGAAGTTATAAAAGCTGGTGCAGTTTTTCGACGTGAATGTGGAGGAGTCTCTTCTAGTATGGGCGATTGCTCTTCGATCGGACTGTCATTAAGACCAGGTAAGTGAAGCGTGCGATCAAAATCTCCAATTGTTTCTTGTTCAGTACGACGAAGACTTGTTCTATTCTCTTGCTGACGAGGTGCGACGAGCGGACCTGGAGGTTTTGATTTCCTACTGCAATCACTCTCTGCAGGTGAATAACGTGGCATATAAATCGATGGCAGTCGTTGGCGTTTCTTGTAGACAAAGAAAACGAGCAGTAGAAATACCAGTAAGGAGCCTAGTATGATCGGACCTAATAGCCACATATTAAATCTACTATCGTCAGACTTGCTGTTAACGGAAGTATTAGACTTTGGTTGATACTGCTTTATCCACGTAGTCACCCATGGCGTAAAGACTGGCACTGACATGACTGCTACAACATCAGCTGAGGTGTTACTCACTGGATAGCATGGTACAACTAGTGATCCATATCCATGTGTATTACACATGCCATACGCTGGCTCTTCATCTAATTTCATTGTATGCACCGCATAGACTAAGAATGAGTCATTTGTTGCCGTCTCCACCCATCCATGTTTAACTGCTCGAATATTTGGAATCATCGTAACGTCTCCTCCATCTGACCACATTGCAACATGCGAACTTGTATCCGAGTCAAAATTGTCCATTAAACACTTAGCTGCCGTTAGAATCTGTGTTCCTGTACAATTATCATTCGCATTGTACATTCTATCGTCCGGTTGACTGCAGTTTAAAGCGGTGCATCCTGTTGTATGGTATTCTATCCTTGAAATAGCCAAATTTGCCATTGAGCGGCCACCAAGTGTCCAAATTTGTACTGCATCATTTTCAGGCGAGATGACAAAACCTGAGTCCCATAGCAATGCTCGTTGCAACAAGCCAGGAAGATTTTCAAACGAGATATTAAATGGTGCAAGTCGCGCAGTTACAGTGCTTGGGATGGTATTTGGTACACACTTTTCAATTGAATCCCCTGCTGCATGACGAAGATAGAGCTGTCGAGCGATATCAGAAGTAGTTCCGTCAAATACGAACGAATCGTTTACTGGTAGATGAGAACCTGTTTCTGCTTCTGATGTAAAGTTGATTATTTTTCTGGGTTCCATGGCATGAGAGGGGATGAGGTGGCGTGTTAATATTGAGATGAATACAACGAGGAGTCGAACGTAACATCTGTGCATCATGCACCTCTCACGTCGGAAAAGATACAAACTCGTTTAGTTTGTCGAGACAAAGTCCCGAGGCCGAGTATTCGGAACTGAATATAGAGTCTGGTGCTGTGTTACATGCTGTACAGATCGTAGAACCGCATACCTGAATAATTGACTGTATATTGGATCATCCTTTCATCGGTGGGTTCAAATCCCATCAATCGTTGATTTGAACAGTAATCACACTTTATTAAATTTATTACCTCTGACAGGTTAATATGTATCATTATACTGCGTATTAATTTGTGTAGGAAAAAAACAACCCTTCAATTGTCGATAGTCTAGTTTTTGGGAGGGCACATTGTTGACTAGTATGAAGGCGCAACTTGATTTGTACAAATGGCAGATACCATTTGCTAAGAGGGAAGGTGCATGGTTGACTTGAATGAAGGTGCAACGTGATCCTTTGGTACCTTTATGATAAAGGCGAGCGTAAAGAAGTAAAGCTGGGACTTGTTTTGTTATGACGTCAGGGTTATTCCGCGAGAAGATGAAATGAATCGACATTGAAGTCTTGATACTATTGTGCGCTAAATGAGTCTTGAGTCGTACATTGGCATGCTTCTGTGATTTAGTCAACTTCTTGAACAGAAGCAGAATGTGGAGATGAACCATCACTAAAACTTGGCGGTAGACTTCCGTGAACTGTAACGTATGGCGTCAAAAATTGCCTCGTTGCGGTTAAGCCAAAGTGTTCATAGAGTCGAATAGGCGTGTGCGAGCCATAAAAAGCTTGTCGGACTGCTGATAGTTACTTATTGAAGGAAGAGAACTTGGGGTCAATCAAACGCAAACTCAAATAGGCGCAAAAACGGTGAGTGAAACAGTCGTCATAAACGTTGTGCCATAGGGCAGTCCCAGAAGAGATGGTGCGGAGATTCCAAAATGGTACAATCATGAAAAACACAAATTTGTAACGTCGGTGTGCCAACCATACTTGTATCGAAAAGCTAGGCCATTGAGTAGTAGGCGAAACAGGGAATCGGAATAAACGGGGAGAATGCCACGTTGAAGAAATCGCTCAAGCGACCAAAAGAAAGAGGTGATAACCACGCCCGGAGCTGAAAGCCGAAAAAGCGTTAGGGGGATGGTCGTGTTCCAGCTAAAGGCGCATAATAACCGTGTTTGAGGCATAAACAATGTCGTAACCGTCAAATGTCCAGACATGTAGCGCATAAACCAATGCTTCAGGCGGCAGCGGAAAAATCGTGATGTTCTGATAGTGTAGTGGTACCTCGAGTATCGTGGAAAGTTTTTGGACTACTGAAGTCATGGAGCGTCCGGGCTTGATAGAATAGCAAGCGAGGGACTCTCAGCGAGTTAACTCAACCGGAATCCAGCTAATAACAGAGCGTAAAGTTAAAATTCGCAAGAGATCTTGATAGCTTAGATAGCTGCACTCAACGATGTGGTAGCGCTAATGTATGGTTGGCTTTCGCAAAACAGAGAAATACATTATTCCAAGTAGGCCATGTAAGCTTCGTCAGAACCAGGCCCAAACATTGGAGCTTGACGATGATTTTGGAGCTCCGTGTAACACTAGCAGCCCTCCAATATGCGGGAGCGGCGTTTCGACGTGAGTTTGATTGATGCCAGGTGGGAAAGTGGAATATAAGAAAATCCGAACCGGAGCCTTGGATATTCAATGCATCATCAATCAACGTTTGAGCCGGGATAAACCATTTAGGCAGAGTCGAGTAATCCTGTCGGGTTTGACGTATTAGCTGACGTATGAGGTTTGCGTGAAGTAGCTTCACCGAGGTAGCAACGGAGGGCAAGTCAAGTCCGCCTGCCAAATCACCAACCGGATGCCATGAGCTCGAAAAGTGGCTGCGCATTGCAGGGTCGGACACAGTGGTTGAGAGTGTGCAGTTCACGAAGGTTTGCACAAGCGGTTTGAACTTGAGGAGCTCTGGTTTAGACACAGAGACTGTTCCCTAAAATGCCAAATAGTGGCAAAACAATGGTCTTCAAAATTAGCACTCTATTCGAAAGGGTGCGGGCGCTCCATCTCCAAGTAACACAGAGTTTCTGAAAGCGGACGAGAAGTTGGTTTAGCTGAAAATACGGACAATGCTTGGCCCAACGGCAATACCGAGAAGCGTTGTATCTTCGCCATTTTTTAAAGCAAACACTTAACTCATAATGTTGGATTAGGAGCTCGAAATCCGCGGACGTCCATGGTCTGAACGGAAATATTACCGTCTTGTCCACGTTAAGCCGCATACCAGTCGCAGTACAAAGTCGTGAACTCGGCATAAAAATTAATGAGTATGTGAGCGGTTATTAACCAAACAGTGACATCATCGGCGAAGCTGAGAATATGGTGAGACGTGGTGCGGATTGTGATGGCTGTGTTGGCACAAGTAGCCCGTAAATAGCAGAGTAGTGGCTCAATAAAGGGCACAAATAACCCTGGGGATAATTGGTCGCCTTGACGAACGCCGGCGCCTAAGCTGAAGAAGTCTGAGCGTGAAGAGTTGATCAACACTTGATCGAGGGAATCGTGATAGAATGTCTCAACCCAATGTTGAAAATTACACCCGAAACCCCAGTGAGTAAGAACTTGATCTAAGGCATGCCAATTGATACTGTCGAAGGCGTTGGTGAGTCGAGGCAAATAGCTCCGGCTGGAGCTCTCGAACTTGTTTCCGGTAGTGATCCAATAAACCGTGGAATTAGCGAAGAGCATGCCGGGTGTCACTGCCAGGCACAATTCCAAATTGGTCTTCGTTCAGTATAATGGGTAGAACTTGATTGAGACGATAGGCTAATGCCTTTTGGGCCAAACTTAACATCTTGATTCAGCAAAGTCAAGTGTCGGTAATTCTTGGGGCCCGAGCGAGAGCCTCTTTGAAAAGGAGAGAGATATAGGCACGGCGTTGAAACTTGGCCATGGGACCCTTCCGGAATTGGGCGGCATAAAACAGCTCCAAGACCCATTGGTCGGGAATGAGCTGGTAGTATTCTGCTGAAAGTCCATCAGGACCCGGAAAATTCCCTCGAGCGGTATGCCTGGTAGCAAAGAAGAAATCATTGGCCGTAAACGGTGCATCGAGCATATCGGCTTGGACTCCGATGGATGTGTCGAAGTGCTGAGATTCGACCTGGAGGTCTCGATCATCCGACTGTAAGATCGTGTCCCAATATCGACGATGGGCCGACAAGACGGTAGCGGGGTCCTTTGACAATTACAAGGGCGTACCGACTGACGAAATCGATACCTTTAGTCCCGTCGCAGTTGGAGCCCGGAAAAAGTGTTTTGGGGAGTTCTCACCGGAACTGACCTCCGATCAAATTTTGAAACAGTGTTTCGCTCAAGAATTGCTGTAAAATAATCCAAATAGGCTTGTCGAGAGGTGTCCCTTTGAACTCGATTGTAATCACTTGGGTCCAGCGCATAGAATTTTTTGCAATCACGAGAAGAAGTGAGTAGAAGCCGAAGCTGAGCGGCTGTAGCACCTTTCCGCCTTATACATTCTCGACGAAGAAAGATACGACCCCGTCGTTTGTGCTCGTCTAACAAACAACATGGGTTCCTGTTTGGGTCGAGTGTGGCAGCCAAACGGTTGAGGTTGATAAGAAGTTGATTTGTATTCGCTCGCAATGCAGTAACCAAGGCGAGCACTGACAAGGTAACGACTTGTCCGTTGGTATGGTGTCAGATGTATTAGTGAATTCGACTGGAGTGTGATCTGCATTGCCAAATTTCTTGCTCCGGAACTTTATTGACGAATGAATAAACTTTTCTTTGAAGTCAATAGAAGCAAGGCAGTAGTCGGTATGATTCTTAGAGCCCGGGCGCGTAATTCCGCGGCTATATGGATTTTATTAGACGCCAAAAATTGACTAGCCCGAGGCTGATCATCCAGTCAAAGAGCTCAGCTCGGCCGGCTTCGTGATAAGTGGCTCCGGATGAGGCTTTGTCCAAATCGGGATCGATAACCACGTTGAGATCACCCATGGCTATATGGACCGAGGAATCATCAAAGTGGCAAGTTTAGACTGAGAAGAACGCTGCACGGGACGGACTGGTCCATACACCACATGGAAGTAGATATGGGGATGTCCTAAATTGGCATTGACAACCATATAACGAATGTACAATACTGCAATATTGCAAAAGAGTGAAGACTCGTCTTGAAGGTGTTGAAATGGGTGTACACTATCAAAGAGACGTTTTACACCATTTCGGGAGTCAAACTTTCCTGAAGAATCTTGGGACCAGAATGAACGTGCGTGGGCATCCGCAGTATGGAGAAAGTAGTCATTGTCATGGTGTATTTGTCGGCTTGAAAGCTTGGTTTCTTGTAGAGCCTCAACTTGGTAATGTGAGTGTAGTGGTGAAATAGCATTACAAAACCGGTATGATAGAAGAGGAGCATAGCGAGGACTTTGTGATGAGTGATCTTCATACAGAACCTCCATCAACTGGTCTGGAAATCTCGGCTATTCATCGAACAAGAAGACCGATGACGAGTAATAGCATGGTGTATCATCCGGAAGTGAAGGAAGGCACCGTGAGCACAGCCCAGTCATGCTGTTGGGTGACAGCAAAAATAAAACTCAGCTCGACAGATCCAAGATCGACAAACGTGAAAAAATTGGAGACTATCAAGTGGACGCGATTGACGATACTCACAATGACGATCATTTCTAACCGCCATTATCTAAAATATCAGGATTGGATGAAGATGGACTAATTGCTGAAGCTGTGCTAGCATATGCAGCAAGTGTTGGTGATGCTAATGATGCGCGAACCTCATATCAGCAGTCCATGTATAGCCATGATGTACCTAAATGGTTGGAGGATATGATAGCTGAGATAAAGGCGCACGAGCTTAGTGGATCGACGACATTGAATCCAGGAACGAAAGAAATGCGAACAATTGGGTGTCAGTGGGTCTTTGCGAAAAAGTGTAACGAAAGCGATGAAGTTGTCAGATACACAGCTCAGTTGGTAGCAGAGGGTTTCAAGCAAAAGTTTTGAGTTGATTTCTTCCATACGTGCTCTCCAGTGGCCAGTATGAATTCGCTTCGCGTGGCGCTAGCCGTTATTGTAATTCAGATTTTGCAAGCGAGCAGCTGGATGCCGACATCGCCTTTGTACACAGTGATCTTGAAGAACGTGTTTACATGAACTACCTCATGGTGCTGCATGCAGCAAGAGTTCTGTAGATCAGCTCGACAAAGCAACATATCACCTTGAGAAAGTAGCTGGCGCATGGAACAAGAAAATACATCGAGGTTCGTGCATATCGGTTTCAAGAGTTGCGAAGCCAATCTTTGTGTATATGTCAGGAGGACAACTGCAGGTCTGGTATACGTATGTTTGTCGATGACATGATTATTGCAGCGAAATAAAGCAGCAAAATCCAAGAAGCCAATCTGAAGCTTTAGAAGGCGTTTGAGATGAAAGAGCTTGGCCAAGTCAAATTTATAATGGAGATTGATCATGAAAAGACGATAAATACCCTTATGGCCAAGCAGACTCGTTATATTACCAATGTTGTGGTGCGATTTCACCAACTAAACTCCAAGGCCGTCGAGAATCCGTGCGAATCAAGCTTGGAGCTGTCAATGATGCAGCCTCTGGCTGAGCCGAGATGCGCTTTAAGCCATACAGGTCGCTGATTGGGTGTCTATTTACATCACAACATGTACTCACCCTGTCGTCGCATACGTCGTGACTCATTTGGATCGATTTTTAGAGAAATCAGGACTACAACACTAGAAAGCTGCTATTCGCGTGCTACGATATCTCAAGACAGCACAAGTGGACGAGCTAGTTTACAAGAGAAGCATGACTGAATTGAACGTCGTTGTTCATACGCATGCTGATTGGGAAAGCAACATTGACGATCGACGGTAGCTATGGCTATGATGGGGATCCGAGTGTGATTTTCAAGTCCAGATATTAGTACACCGTGACTCTCTAGCTCAGTAGAAGCTGAGTTCATGGCGTTAAGCTTGTGGACCAAGAACTTTTATGGGTGCGGGTCATACTAAAGACCTCGGCCACGAACAATTAAGGGCAACTTTGGTCTTGGAAGACATTAAGAGCAAATGCGCCGGCAAATAACGTAAGCTAAAGGCGCGAACGGAGCATGTCGACATTCACCACCACTTCGTTCGAGAAAATGTGGCTATAGCTTAAGTGTGGGAAGTATATCGGCATAATTAAGCAACTGGCAGACAGGGTGACGAAGCCTTAAAAGAGCCACGATACTTCAGCTTCTTCGGAGTGCAACTGGACAGCGTGTCAAGCACACACAGCTTTAGTGGTGAGTAAAAGGTATGATATTACACCATTAAACATTCGGATGTCGTCGCAGGGATTCGGTACGTGTCTGTTGATGATATCGAACACAATATTTACAGACAACCTACGGTAAGTGATTGCGAACGCAACTGCAGCCGCTGATAGGCTTAAGCTGCATTTGTATCTGGTATAGTAAGCCTTGCATATAAAATGAGTGGTTTGGAGGTAGCAAAAAGGCATCGTGCACGTTTACCATTAAGTGGTTCGACTACTGGCACAGGCCGTACTACTCGTTTGCGAATTAAGGACCAAAAAATATTCACCTCACATCTACCTTCTTCTACAAACTTCTCCAAAACCGGACCCCCCCCACGGACGAGATACAAGTTTTCACCGTGATGGTTCACCTCCACTCGATGGCTCGAGCGGCGCTGGTCGCTGGATTTCCAAATGCGTATTTCATCACGATACGCGGCTCCGTTTTGCACCAGGCTTGATGTCTGATGCTATTTGGGATATCGAGAGGTACTAACAAGTCCGCGTGGCTGGGGTCCTTGCCAGCGAAAGATATGTGCGAGCGACGTAGCTGATTGATGAAAATGATTCTTGACGTGGTTCAGGATCACAAGACCACCGTCCATAGTGACACAGATGACCTTCGTGACGCAGTCCAGTGCTCGCGAGAAATGTCCGCAAGCGCGACACTACAGTTGATTCCCCTGATGAATCTTTAGTCAGGCCACGTGAACGACTGTAGGCTATCTCGTCGACTCGGTCCTAAGTAAGCTCAAGGTCCCCATCATAACTGCCATGACCACTCGTATCCCCGCTATGGCTGCGATAATTATGGTCACTTTGCACTATGCCAACCACTGCTCGAGTAACTGTTCTCCCTTATCAAAAGTCATCACACCGAAAGTTATTGTCAAAAGGAACTTGTTTTTATAAAATATAGCATAAAATGAGTGAAAATTGTGAACAAAAAAGTGAGAAAGATCTCGGTGGAGAGCGAAACTTTTTCACTTGATGTAATCAGCAAATCTCTTTATATCATGTTGGACTAGTAGAATAGCTTACCAGCTATATTAATACTAGATCGCGTCGACTAGATTTGATACATTGATCAATGTCGCATCGTAGGAAAATCACTTTATGTTCAGTTTAAAATGACATCAAGCTGAACCCAACTCTCTGTATTGATGTAATTACACGATAGATAGCAAAATACTCAAAAATAGAGTACTATTCCATAGCTTAAATGATAGTATAAGTCAAAGTGAAAAGTGTAATATTTCTTAGATTCGAAAAAGAGCTCATTTAGCAAATCACAGCACTTTTTATTTCTAAAAATGTGTTCTCAGGCCAGGTACCACATGCCCTATCGCTAAAAGCTCTTTTGTGGTCATTTGCGCAGCCACCTTCAGACATATGTACATGTAGGCTTTCCACTGTCGCTTCTGTAAAGCATCCCTCTCATCCTCCAAGGAAATCTAGTCCAGTTCGAAACGCGCTGGACCTACATCGAGCTCAATTGTCGCTTGTACAGTTGCTAGTATTGAGTGCCATGTCGCTTGTCAATACGGCAGGTTCGGCTGATCAAATGCAATCGCAGACATTTACACCAACAGGTAGGACATCCACTCCGACTTCTCAGACACCATCGACGGAGACGAACGCAGGAACGTCATCACCTCCATCTGCACCGGTAACAATTACAATACCATCAAATTCAGGACTTACATCTTCGTCTACTGCAATCACATCTGTACCTGGAAAGAGAACAACAAATACCGTTTTACAAGTAACTCCTTCAGAATCGACTTCAAATACTAATGGTATCACTGATACTTCAGCGCGAGGGCCACCTACTGCGAATGCAAATTCAACAGCAACGGTCATCATTAATGTGAATTCTGGCTCTGGTGATAATGATTCATCGTCCGGAGTTACCCTTGTGGATGTTGGTGACAAAGGTGAGATTGACAGTGACTTTGACGACTTTTGAAATAGCAATTAAACCAACACTTTTACTTTATAGGCATCGGTGTCGGTCCCATTATCGGAATTGTTTTCGGGACAGTTCTTCTAGTCCTTTTGATCGTAGGGTTTGCCTTCTATCTATATCGCCGGCGCAAACAAATGCCACGATCGCCGTCGTTCGACGCTTCGTACACTCTTGCTCCAAACGCTCTCCCCGCCGCAATTATGTGGAATACTCATGCACCATCGTCTGATATAGAGGATCAAAGTGATACTAACTTAGATAGGACAGTCGATCTCGATAGTACGGGAAACCTCGACTCGACTTTGCGTGCAGAGCCAATAAACAAAAGCAATTCAAGTTTATGGGAAGATGAAACGATTTTGGCAGCTCGTATTCCTATGGAAAAGCTTGTATGTATGGAAGTTCTTAATGAAGGTGGACATGGCGTAGTCTATCACGGTCAATATCGCGGCGAGCGCGTTGCTATCAAAATGCTATTGCTTGATAAGAGGAAGGATATGGGCCAGATTAATATGTTTCTCGCAGAAATTAAAATGATGGCAACTATTGAACATCCTCGAATCGTCCGCTTTATTGGTGTCGCCTGGGACGCACTCAGTGATCTCTGCGCTGTGTCTGAATACATGCCTAGTGGTGATTTGTTTTCATTGCTGCAGCGTTTTCATCGCATTGATCATCGACCAGCAGGCTTTGATGAAGATAAAGCCAAAATTGCACAACATATTGCACAGGCACTAACGTATCTACACTCTCTTGATCCAGTTGTACTGCATCGTGACCTCAAGTCGATGAATGTATTGTTAACGGAAAAGTGGGATGCAAAGCTCACAGACTTTGGTGTCTCGCGAAAATGGACTGTTGATACTATGACGGCTGGTGTAGGTACACGGCGCTGGATGGCACCTGAGGTTATGATGGGTAAACGTTACGACACGAGCGCCGACATTTTCTCGTTTGGAGTGGTCCTGTCAGAATTGGACTCGCACCAGCCTCCATATGCACGCGTAATCGAATTCATGACGTCCGAAAGTGGCGAAAAAGTGACGGAGACGAGATTAGCTGAGATGGTGGCAACAGGACGCATTCGAATTGAGTTTTCGTCGAAAGCACCCGCAGCACTTGTAAATCTCGGCCTTGCATGTGTAAATCTGGACTCGAGAGCGCGCCCTAGCGCCAGTGAAGTGCATTACGAACTGGAAAAGATTTTGCGCAAGTATCAGAAATACACATTATAGTTGATAGAAGTTAATCGGCAACGTCGGCAATATTAGCCGAGCCATTAGATAGACAACGTTTGCAGAAGACGTACATTCTTGAAACATACCATATAATATCTTTTTATACTGAATACATTTATCTGATTACTACAAATTAAGGTCAATGACCCAATTTCGAGGCTATTTTCCTTCCATATCAACCACCAAGTTCGATGGCAGACCATTCAGCGACCTCTGATGTCGTACCGCCTCCAGCACCTGCCGATGTGTACGCTACTGCAGCTGCAGATCCGACCTTACCAACACTCTACCCAAAGCCTGTGACAATTCTAGTGATTGGGATGGCTGGAAGCGGCAAGACAACGCTCATGCAGCGACTGGCAGCCTACGGTGTGGACTCTGGTCTACGCAATTACGTAATTAACCTTGATCCGGCAGTGCGAAAGACTGGGTATACGGCCAATGTGGATATTCGTGACACTGTGGACTATAAGAAGGTTATGACAGAGTATGGACTCGGCCCCAATGGTGCCATTATGACGTCGCTTAACCTCTTTGCAACGCGATTCGATCAGGTTATCGACCTCGTGGGAAAGCGTAGTAGTGATCTCGAGTATGCTATATAGAGCAAAGTCACTAGCTGTACGAAAAAAGTACTAACTTTCTTGCATCATCTTATTGCTGCTAGTTATGCGATCGTGGACACGCCTGGACAAATTGAAGCTTTCACGTGGTCCGCATCGGGTCAGATCATAACGGAATCATTAGCATCAACCTTTCCATCCGTCATCGTTTACGTCGTGGATACACCACGTACAGCAAGCCCAAACACATTTATGTCCAACATGTTGTACGCATGCAGTATTCTTTACAAGTTGAAATTGCCCTTTGTGGTGGTATTCAACAAGATTGACGTCATGCGCCATGACTTTGCAGTTGAGTGGATGACAGATTTTGAGGCATTTCAAACGGCGCTTGATGAAGTGCAAGATGACAGCTACATGGGCAACCTCTCGCGCTCTCTTAGTCTTGTATTAGAAGAGTTTTATAATAATCTCACATCCGTTGGTGTGTCAGCTGCAACAGGCGAGGGTATGCCTGAATTTTTTGCTGCTATTGATGAGGCTGCAAAGCAATATGAAAACGAATACCTTCCTGATTTATTAGGGCGCATCAAACAACAACAGAAGACGAAACAAGTGCGTGCTGAGGCTTCGCTTTCTAGCGTCATGCAGGATATGGAAATCTCGGCCCGTGATAAAACTTCGCTCCCTGATACTTCATCCATGTCTAATGTTGCAGGTGAGCGCACCGACTTATAATAATATATCATTTACTTAGTTACGTACAACACATCAATAAATGAGCTATCTTTACTCTATTGACCCCCCGTGATACAAAATGGAGGCGCGCACACAAGGCGCTGTGTCTGCGTCCACAGCGTTTTACGGGCGTTTGATCCCTCAAAAAAGCGATGAAGAGGATGTGAAAGCAGCTTTAGCAGCTTTAAATGCTTCGGGTGAAAGCAAATTGCCCCCTACGACACACAATCGTGTTGCATCGGCTGCTCGCACGCTACGCAACGCGATACTGAAAGAGTCACGCTTCTACCGCGTATTACAAGAAGCAAAACTCTACACAATTGATTTTGGTGGCTTAGATACATCCACAAGTGAAAATGCAGCTGAGAGTGGCGAGAAAGCTACTGATCTTGACGATATACGACGCCGTGCATCGTCATTGGCCGAAAGCGACTATAAGGTCGTGCGAATACAAGAATTGGCCAAGCTCGGTAATGGACGCACATCATCTGCTCGCAATCGGCAACAAATGATGCAGCAAGATCGCAACGGTCAGTAAAGACAGAAGTGTCAATGACATATATGAGCGCTAATTTTAGTGCTTTGTATTGCTTTACGCCAGCTTATAGCGTCATGAAAATGCCAGAAGAAATCGTGGCCAGCAACGGACGCTTACAGTGTCTTGTTGGTGCATCGAACGCTCCTACGTGGTTTATTCGCTTGACGCACGTGAAGGATGCATTCATGATGTTATCAACCAAAGAAGCTGGTATTGCTACGGAAAAAGAATTTCTCGAATCACTTCCCGAATCTCAAACAGCTATAGTAAACAAAGGCCGATTTTACTATCGAGTTTTGGTACCAATTGAGCTTCGAAGAGCCCCAGATTTATTGTCACCGGTCATTTCACGACATGTTTTTAAGAATGCAGAGGAGATTATTGAATGTCATGAAACTTATCGCTGTCCACAGAGTGGAGTGACGTTTGTGAAACTGGCGTATGAAGATGGGTGGCTTTTTGAGACATTGAACTCGGGAATTAAAGTGCTGGAACGACTGGCCACTGAGCCGAATATCGAGTATGGTCATTTCTTTTTTGTTGTCAAAATTCCAGTCGGCATTAGAGTGGCTCCGCATATAATGGCACAGCGTTCTGGGAAAGGCTTTAAATTACATTCAATTGTCGAAGCATCGCAACGATTTACGCCTCCTGGAAGCAAAATTACATATGTACGAGTGTGTAGGGATAAAAATTCGCGGTGTGGCTGCTCTCGAAGTCATGCAGGAAGTGCAAGTCCAAAGTTTACCGAGCGTAAACTTAGTGCTGGTGGCGGAGAGGTCGGAGTTGACGACAATTCAGTAGAAAAAGCTTTTACAACTTTACCCGCACCTTTATCTTGTCATGGCGGCTGGATCTTCGAGACGACGATGGACGGACAAGTGGTACTTGAGCCAATGCCAGAGCCTAAAGTGCGCCAGGTTGAACGCCTTTTTTATCTGGTTTTAGACGATGTCGATGTACTCTCAACACCAGGGCTAAAGCGAGTTGTAGTTTCAAGTCCATCCAGCCCTCCAACAAGACGGAAAAGGCTAAAAGACACACTAATCGAGTGTAGTGAGCGCCTCGTACCTGCAACACCACCCGTATCGGACGATGATGAGCAGGATGTACCGGAGATTGGCTTCGTAAAGCTCCGACATGATGCAGGTTGGATCTGCGAGCGGCATTTGCATCCGCCGTATGCATTGCTTTTGGAACAAGTGCAAGGATACGCCGTAACCCGTGATTTACCCAAGTTTTATCGTGTCCTTGTACCGGTGTATTTACGCTCAGCCCCCGACTTCGAATGCCCACGATTACCTGGTGTGGCTCCCATGACGGCTGGAACTGTATTTGAGAGTAGTTTGCAATATACACCACCAGGCAGTCGCATCACGTATATCAAAGTAGCCAGTGCATCACACCCAGCAGCAAATGGTGCGTGCAGCGGCTGGCTTTTTGATCAAACACCAAGTGGAGATCAAATGCTTGAGGCTGTGGACGAAGATCCTGAGAAGAAAAATGGCAAATTCTTCTTTCGAGTCATTAGTGAGAAGAAAGAAGTGCTTCTGTCGCCTGAGAAAACAAGCGAAATCGTGCGGTATTTGTTTGCCAATACTATTATTTCAGCTGAAATGGAGTACACGCTACCACGAACACAAGAGACATACGTACGACTTTCGAAAGAGAAAGGTTGGGTGGCGCTTGATCCCTCACGATCACGAACCGGTAGTTTGACAAGCCATCGTTCTAGTCGCAATATATTTGCCATGCAAACTGCAAGCGAGAGTGAAGATTGTCCTCCTCGAACGCTTGTGCGAATATCTGAGGAGCTCTATAATCTCTACGCGATGCCTCCGAGCTGGGTCAGTATTGGACATCCAAATCGAACATGGTTCAAAGTACCGGATGAGACTTGTCGAACAATATTGGCAGAAGAGACCATTCTGCAAATGTCGGTGTTTGAGTCGCGCAATATATTGGCTTCCTGTTCTCAAGGTCGGGAAGGTGTACCTCTTTCACGAAAAGGTACACTTAGTCTGGATGATGGCAATACTGTGTGGCATTGCACTTTGGAGGAGATTAAGCATCCAGCTAGTGCATTATTGTTCACATTTCCATGGAAACAAGTATGGTGGGTTTTTGAAATGGAAGGATCTGCCGATCGACATTGCGTCGAGTTGCAGCACGGTCTTCGCGGTGGTTTTCGCTCTATCTTAATGGATGGCGAAATCTTGTTTCAAAACCGCAGTGTTTCGGATATATTGTGGGATTCTGGCAGTGAATTTACGTTCACATGGAATGAACACACTTTTAAAGTGCTCATTACTCTTGAAGGAGCGTTTTTTTCGCAGTATTTGCAGTTCTTTAGTTACACGTTGCTGGTTGATGAAGAAAATATTGTGCCTCTTGACCAGTAGAAATACCCAATATTCTATTGAGTACTGATAAAATATTGAGCATTAATCTTCCATTATCGCTATAAGAAAGTCAAGTGCTTCTTCTAATGGTGGTAAGTCCGCTAGACTAATGGATACGGTAGCCAATGGCTGTTTAATTGCATCAATCTCCTCCACTGGATCATTGTAGTAGTGGCATTGCACTGGAACAGTACAGGGACTTGCATCGGATTTAGGAGAGACAACTAAGGAGGGGTCAAGGGTGTCGGGATCGCCTTCTACGGCCTTATTGCTGCCCATGTTTTTCATAAAGTTGCAAAAAGTGAGCACGTCATCATCAATACGATGCTCTACTCGTGCCCACGTTTTGCGGTCCTTCCGTAGTCCACGCACCCTCCGGATAATCTTTTCATGATATTTCTGTGTGTGAGTCTGCACTTGACGAATGGAGCGTGTACCAACAGCAGAGGCAATGCAGCCCCATGGACCACGAGGATTTTCTCTAATAGCAAAGAGAAATCGATCGTGCTCATCTTCAGACCAGATGCCGTGCTTCATTTGGTCGATCGGTATTCTTAAAGGAATAGTCAACCAATGTGGTTGAATAACGCGGTGGAAACTTGCGACCCTCACTGAGAATTGTGAAATGACGGATGACGAATGTGTTAAATCAACATATTCATCCGACGGGCGACTTTGATATGAGATCAAGGGCCCAAACGAATTTAAAAGTGAGTTTAAGCGATGGAATGTTCATTGACCTAAAGCACTTAGGGACCGCGCATGTCACGTCACCTCAATACAATTCTGCTCCTTATTGTTATTGTATCTTTCTTCAATACTTTACTTTGTAGTTTACGTTGTCGCTCCCCATCTGTTGTTATGAAAGTTTTTTTTTTAATAAATATATTATCAATCTTATTATTCTCGATTTCAAGATCTGGTCAGATAAGATGAAGCTATCTATCTGGACTACTATAATACATAGGTAATCATTCGTTTTATTTTCAGACTACTGAGTGAAGAAGTCGAAAGAGTAATTTTGTTGATCCCAAAGACACGCATGAAACCATCACTTATGGCTGTACATCTCAGGCCGCCAACGCTCGTTTCAAAACGTTAAGCGGCTCTTTGTGCTTCTAGGAATTACAGCATTTCGTAACATTGAAATGATAGCTAGCAGTCATCCGAATGTTTTGCACCTCGTCACAACACAAATATATTGTAATGTCAACTTACTTAAATCACGAATACTATATTATTAAAACTCTTAAATTTGTATTATTTCCGTTTTATGTTTTATGCTGCATCTTTATAGCTGGATCTCAACTTCCACGACCTCGAAATTTTCAATCAAGAAATCAAGTGATTCGTCATATGTTGGGAGTAGATAGGAAATCATTGAATCGCTGATTGTGTCATTTGAGTCGACACCGTTTGGACTCATGGAGCCAGACATCGAAGACATTAATAGTGGGACCATGAGCCCAAATGTGGAACTTGTTGATGATTGCTGCGGTGATAAAGACTTAGCTTTGTCATCTTTGGGCAAAACGACGCCAAACCCTTCACCGACTTTGCATGCGGCGAGCATGTCATCATCAATGCGATGATCGTTACGAGTAGAAGATCGACGTCCTTTGTGTAGACCACGCATTCGACGCACCACCTTTTCATGGTATTTTTGAGCGTGAGTCTGTGTTTGACGGATAGAACGTGTGCCAATATATTCCGCAATTTTACGCCATGGACCATGAGGATAGAGTTTGATTGCAGTAAGAAAGTTTGCATGTTCCTCTTGAGACCAGAGACCGGTTGTCATTTTTTTCGATAGTGAAAGTACGTAGTGATGGTACGTTGAGCACAGGTCACCGTGAGGGTAAAAGAAATAGTGATCTCATTAATTTCAAGACTTTTTTATCATTAAGACCGTTGCTCCAAGCTCATGAATCCAGCAAATCGAAGAATAAAACAAGTAAAGTGATGGTTGACTCGTTGTGGATTAATACTGATGGTGCAATCCACTGAATCAAGCCACAAGTCACGAAACTGCGTTAAGTAGCTGAGATGCACCACACGTTTAACATATTAAAGAAACGTTCCGTAATGTCCATCACAGTCTTGATAGCTGTTTTGAAATCCTTACTCTATATTTACGAACTGTGCACTTGAGACTCTATTGTAGAGGACACTGCATCAAAGAAAACGTCGTTGATCTCATCTGTACTTTCGCTTTCGTCGTCGTTGATAAAAAGTTCGAGTTCTTTTGCGTGTCCATTTGGCAAATCTACTGCTGCAATGACTTGGATTGAAGCTTGAAACGTAGTCAAAACATACCCTTCAACACCTTTACCACCTCCATTCGTGAAAAACGAAATGAATGCAATCTCGGCGACAAAATTCAGGCCTGGACCACAAACTCGAGGACACTCGACGAGAAACGCACACAAGATTGGAATCAACATGTCGGTATTCGAAGTAGACTGATGCAGTTTTTCTGCAAAGCAACAAATATTTCGAAAAGCGTCACAAAGTAGCACTAACTTCAGCAATGGCGACGACGTCTTGTGCATCATTGCAACCATAATAGCTTCAGCTTTTTGAAGGTCTTCATCTAACACGGCACTCAAACTAGTATCATCCACGTGATGGTGTAGTAGAGCAGAGGAATGATACTTTTGTTCTCGTCGGATATCCGCCACATTATCCGCGAATGAAGAGTCTGCGTCCTCAAAAATACACTGAAATTCACTGAACACCATGGCATGGATATCGGCGTATACAATTCGCTCAACAGCAAGGGAGCAGCTACTAAGTGCTTGTGGAGTACTAGCGAGACTAGGAAAACATTGCAACGTAGCACCCAACACATGAGCTACATACATCTTCGTATCTTGAAGAGTATCTTTGGCCATTGTTCGAGCAGCATCCGATTCAATAGCAATAGAATTTCCAGTGAGACTTGGTCTTCGTCGCCTTTTTTGGTGTCTTGCTCCAAATCGTTTACGAAAAGCTTCACAAAGTTGAACATTCATTTTTCCTAAAAACTCACTTGGCGAAGCAAAGACACCAAAAAGAAAGCGATACACTTCAGCATCATCTGGCAAATTATCGTGCACAACATCCTTGGAGTTATCATTAACTTTCAGAGATGAGTCAAATATTTGAAATCGTCGGAGAAATTCGGCATCTTTCCGACAAGCTTCATCCGACGGTGCACCATCAAAATTCTTCTTGCAGTTCCAACAAATCTCCATGGCCCATTCACCTTTACGTAAACGTTCTTTACGACGTTGTGTAGCCTTGACGTTGCTTTGATGCGTTGCAGTTGCTGCTGCAGCAGCACTTGCTGTAAGTCCAATTCCTGCCATGACTGTCTCAGCTCCTACACTTGCGACAAGCATGTTTAAACCAGCTAAAACACCAGCTGCAGGTCCCATAGCCATTACACCTACGACACCACCAGCCGCTATAACTGGTGCTAGCTTTTTCGCAAATCTCGAAAAATTCGGTAATTGCTGTTTCTTCTGCGTAGTAGTTCCGTCTTCTGTCAAAACCACGGAAGTAGCTCCACGAGCAGCAACACTACTACTATTGAGCTCTTCAATTAGCGTTGCTAACGTAAAACTTGGCAATTTTCCAATACTCTTGGATCTTACTTTCTTCTGTGTTGTCAATTTGACAAAACGAATGCGTTGAGAAGTGGCTTCTGGTGGAGGAAAGAGAATCGCATCTGCTGGTGGTGGAGCATGACTACATGGTGGCATGAGACTCTTGTGGCCTCGACATTGACGATGAGAGTGAGAAACACTTAGACACTCTCGATGTGCAAACTTGCCACAGCTGAGACACTGACAAACACTTGTTGGAAACATGATCGAGACAGTAAAAGCTGCAGAGCTCAGCATTCTTTTAGATTTGTCATTGCTGGACTTCATAATGGCCAAAAGCCGCTCGTGACAAAGTAAACAATCGCGAAAACAGAGTAAACTACGATCTACCGTTGATAGCAAGCGAAGTGTCACTGGGGAGAAACTATGGCCGTGCAGAGGGTCTGAAAACAATCCGACTGTGTCGCGAAGATAAGCACTAGTGTGAATATTGAATTGTTACATGTGTCAACGAGTTGTGAAGAGAGTTCGCATACATATACAGACGTAGAGAAAGTAAGTACGAGAATCATTGACGCACAGAGATAGGAATGAACTTACCTTAGCGCCCCTTGCATGACCATGATGTGGACAATCAAGAGATAAATAGTTAGCGTTTAGAAAAACATACAGTTTTGGCGAGATTATATAGAGCATTTGATTAGTGTGACTTACAAGAAATATCCGGTATTTTGATCCGATTCGGAGAGAGCGTTGATTGCTTTAGACATCATCCCATTAAAGCTAGATTTTTGATTCGTAGATGTCGTAGATCTAGGTGAGACGGAATATTGCAAAGTTGGGCGGCATAGCTTATTGAAGTTGCGCCATGAATGCGCTCCTCAAGGCTATCAAAGACGAGACAATGTCTCAATAGCTCTCTGTAGCTGAATGACATTCTGCACTGGAGCAGCGGTCCGGTTTTGAATCGCTTCGAGATCTTAGTGTAAGTGATATATCAGGTCTCGATTAAGTGTATGTCGAGACTTTCAGAATTAGTCGACACGCTGCCACAACCTTACAAAAGATATATTCTTCGCTGGCACTGCTTGATGAGCAATACTTGTATGCGGAGAAAAATGTTAGTACTAGATTGAAACCAGTATTTGGTGAGGTGAAAGATTCACCCTCTCTTGGGACTTTAGCCTCGCAGTAGGAGTATTTGCTGTGAAGCTTCTCATTAGCGCTCTTGTTCTACATTTGAGATTCAAGCGCGGTTAAAGCAGCAAGATCATAGTCAAATTTTCAGCACGAAGTGGGGTCGAAGACGAATGCTCGTTTCGTCGTCGACGTCGCGCGTTGTGTTTGTATATGCCAAGTAAAAAGTGACATTTCGACTGTTTCACTTGAACTGATTCAGGGACAGCAGCAACATGCTGTCCTTTATGCGCTAGTATCCACAGAGTCTGCGATTCGACGCTTCCTTTGTACAAGGTGCGCGAAAACTCTGGTTTAGGCGATCAGCAAATGTTGACTGTCTCATTCAGAACAAGAAACCCGATGTACCGAGTACCCCGTTTTGGAATCGAGGAGGACCAGAAGGGTAGTGACAAAAAAAGTTATACACCACCGCGCTGAATTCGCTAGCGATAAAATGCCATATGCAAACAAGCTTTGTATTTTTGAATGGTCGAGATCGTGCTAGACTACTTGGCATTTATAAGTGTTGAAGGCTTCGTATCGTTAGTATATTCCATGTAAGACATCTTCCACTCCGCAAACTGAGACTCAACGCTAACTTGAAAGGCTAAAGCGACCATTAAACAGAATGATTGCTTGGAAGTTAAGCGTTTAGCACTTCAGCAGCCCAGGGAGTGCTGTTTGTTTTGTCTTATATCATAAGGTTGTAAAATTTCCAGCGACCCGAACATGATCAACAATAACGATAACGACGCTTTTCATCATCTGCATTCGGTGTAACGATGCATCAAGACATCAGGAATTCGCTGCTTGTCCGACGACTAAGCCATAATAACACTTCTTTACTTATTGCTAACATCGAATGTTTATTCAGAGAAAGATTTTGCCGCTCATAAATAAATTAGTGAATATCTTTCAAACCCCTGTCAGTACTTTGAAAAGCAGTTCTTGCCCGCCAAGGTTGCTAACTACATGTCTTTAAGTACCACATGCTTTCTGTTAACCAAGGTATTAAATAATGCAAAAATATATGTTGCGCAATCGAATTAGCACACTATTTCATTTGTTCAACCTTGATCATTGCCTTAGCTCCACGACCTGAATGTATGACCAATTGAATTTGTTTCATACCGAGGTTTCCACATACCCAGCGATATCATAACATTCCGTGTTGTAGTGATATGAAAACATTCCGGTGTTGCTTCACACAAATGCATTCTCAAACGATGTCGTTTGTAACTAATAATATCGGTATCGGGTTTTCAATTATCAATTAGATTTACAGCAATTTAATGCACGGGAGACCCTTTGACAAACGACCAACCAGCTAAGATGACGCCGCTCAAAAGTGTTGGGATCAATGTTGCAGCTAATGTATCTTTTCACAATCATAAAGTCTACATTTGCTCGCGAAACGAACTCAGATTGGCCTTGTGGTAATATAAATACCCCCATTTTCTTGATTGAGGGCTCAATTTGCTCAAAAGACAATCTTTACTTTTTCATGCTGTCAAGGCTCACCATGGGGTTCCTAGCCAGAGCTCACCCCCTCCTCGTTTGAGTGGTTTACAGACCAAATCGTACATCAGTACCGGTAGAATAATCGGCACCTTTGGAACGAAAAACAGGATCATGATAAACACCTTCACTTTGGGTCTCACGAACAAATCAACAGCTCAAGCTGTTGCCTAATTTACTAGAACGCCCGTACCCATGATGGCGAACAAGCGCACTGGAGTTCACTATAGCGTGGTTACTACTACCACTGGGTCCTCAATATGAGGATGAATCTGGTAATAAAAAGGTTTTCTGCGGTTATGTATTTATTTTGGCCATCAAGGATGGGACTATATCAAGGGATGTAGTTTTTATACGACGCCAAGGCGTAAGGGCTCATAGCGTAAGAAGTCTAGCTCTTACATGACCACGAGCGCCATAGAGGAAAGAAAGCGCTTCTAACGACCGCTCGACATTGCCCAAGTTCTTAAGACGCTTTACCTGTACGACTTAAACATAGAGTTGTACCAGTATGAAGCAACATTTGGACTCTTTTGACGGAATTCCAGACAATGGGATAGTGATTTGACGAATCGTGCCAGCTACCAACAGTCTGATGTCGTCATATGATTTTTCTCACCGATTGAAGAAAGTGCGATGGACATCAAGCTATTTGCACTTAAGGGGAGGCTACACAGAAATATGGCTACAGAAAAAGTTATCGGCGTAAATGAAAATGCTGGTAGATTCAATGGTGCACGAATTTACGTTTGGAAAAGTGCACCCCTCGCAATGACGGCGAATTCAAAGGCAAGAGCTTTAATTGTGACCAGGACGATCACATCAAGCGGAACAACCCGGCCGAAAAACGATGCAGTAGCGATGATGTGGTATTTTTTCTAGGCGAGGGACGATAGACAATGAGATAAATCGACAGCGGCGCCACATCCCACATGACCCCGCACCGTAGAAATTGCACAAGAATTTTGATATACGCACCAAATTAACAACTGCAGAGCTACTCGTCAAAGGAACCGGCACAATTTGTACGGAAAGAATTCGACACATAGATATCTCAAGATTCGACAGAAATGTTTTGTTATTTGGCAAGTTTGCGGAACGCAGTACAAATATACAGCTTCTGTGTTCGTCGTGTGCCATCTGTAACAGGAAATAAGCAAATACCGATCGTAGAAACAATATTCGTGCTGAAGAGGGTAGATTATCATAGGACCAATTCGTACTCCCTCGGGATGTGCAAACTATGTTCTTACTTTTGTGGATGATATGTCACGATAAGTTGCGAGTTGCGCAAGAGTGAAAGAGCTTGCAAGTTCCGCAAGAGTGAAAGAGCTTGCAAGTTCAAGATTTTTTTTGACACCTTACGAATAACAATGTGCTGTTCTTTTGAAATGTTCGAGACCTGACAACGAGACTTTCGTGAACGAGAATGGTAGATATATGTCGTTGTAGCGGGTTCATCCGCCAGCGCTTTAATACATATAGCCCTTAGCAGAATGGAGTGGCGAAGCGCATGAACAGAACTACCATAGATAAGCCCACAGTATGCTTCCCTTCAAAATTGCTCGACAAATATATCCCATCCAAACATTACGCTGTATAATGTGGCTTTCAAGATGGAGCATCCAAAGGATCATGTATGCTCGTTCAAGTCGCAGTGTTACGCTCATGTCGGTGATGCAGACAGACCAGAGCTGGAGCTCAAGAGCTTATATAATACATTTTCTGATTCAGCAAAAATTATCGCGCGTTTGACTTGGATAATGCCAAGATTAAAGTGAGTCGCTGCGTGAGTGATGAGCGTAATGTACGATCGCATTAGCCAACAACGCCAAATACCATAAACACGTGGACATTCAGCACCGCTCATCCGCGAAGCCTCACTTTGTAGATATGCCGGGTGACGAAGACATTAGAAGGCAAGATGGTTATACTATAAGCGAGGCAGCAGGTATCAAGATCGATCCAGTGTCAAGAAGCAACAAGTATTAACGGCGAAAGAGGTGGTGCTTGATACTGTTGAAAGACGATATTGTAGCTTGTTTGTCTAATTTACATGCATAAGATTGACATTTGTCTGTACGATAAACAACCATAGATTAGTCTGATGGAAAAGGTGTAGTGACTCCACTTGCTTGAATGAGGGCTCAATCTTTCAACAAATAAAGTTTAATAACACGTTGAGGTTCCATCGTGGAAATTCAAGCCGGAAATCATGTCCCTCGACCAGAACACACGTCCTTGTGCATAATAACGGCAACATTGAGACGAAGACAGGAATATAAAATTTTTATGCACTTCGAATTTTTCCAACAAAGCAATTATTATAAAGAATGAAAAAAATATTGAAATATGTTGACTAAGTTTTCATTTCTGCTTTCATGGTCAAGTCACAAACAATAAATACATTTAAAAAGCTACATCGAGTTCCTGAAAATTCATGTTGGCTGTAGTGCTGACTGAAAGCTTTTAATTAAATTTCGTGGAAAAAAAAGAATTTTCACATATGAATAATTGATCAGTTCATGAGAAAAATCGAGAAAAAGTTTTCTTCAATGGCCTTTTTAGTGAATCGAAATACTTGTGGCCATAAACGTTCTCCCTCTCATTACCCATGCGTGTATATAAATATCTAGTGATGGCGGCAACTTTCGACTTGTTTATCGTGAATGTTGTCTCGACTAACTCTTCGGCCCATTTGACTTTGACTCGTCACAATACTTTCGATCGTGATAGCCGAATAAATGGTCACTTTTTGAGAAAATTGGAAACTGGAAAAGCAAAGACACAAGAAAATGAAGAGAGGAATGACTTGACTCCAAAAGAATTAGCTACGCTTCTGAATCAGCTTTATGCTTTCGATTGGCTGATTAAGAAAGAGAAGCAACTTGAGTCTCTTTTTTCAATCAGGTCTGTCTTAGAAGGAAAAGAGATCAAGTACGATGCTGAAAACCTTCGTAGCAGTCATGAATCGCTT